ACTGACAGGACCGCATTCAAAGCATAAGATGTCACTCCCCTTTAAGAGCCCTTTTTACTACATAAGTTTCGCGGATCGTTGAGGCGCTTAAAAATAAAATATAAATTACCTACGAACACAACAAAGCCAACAATATTGTTGGCGGACGCTGTTGTACTGTTTCAGTAGGCTTTAGAGTCTCCTGCATGTCGAATGCAATTACTAAAAGACAGAAACGGATATGCTTCAAAAGTGTAGTAAATCATAGGCCTACAGACGTGTTTGGGACCCACATGACTAAAGATAGAAGCGTTAGCAGTTGTATCTTGTTTAAGTAACCTTTTTTGGGCACAACTTTTGCTTGATATTTTTATCTTCGTCCATGGGAGGAATTTTCAGCATATTAAAAAAGGTTAATGTGAAGTTCTCGGTAGTAACTTGATTAAGCGAAATGACGTTGGTCATGCCGGAATTACGAATCTTATTAATTAAGTTCATGTAACGTATCATTTGAATTTTCTTTTCTTTGCTTCGTCTACTTAGGTAATACATGTATCGGACGAAAATATTTCCCTTTGCAGTGCATAAGATATCGGTTTCTAAGACTGCATTCGAGGTATACATGTCACTTATATTTAAAAGTGCCACGTACTTTTGTACTTAATAATATTTGAGCGCAAAACATGTGAAACGTTTGTGCGTTTATATCTACAAACCAACTCATCTACAAAAATAATAATGACAACAACGGTTCCGAGAAATCCAACACATTATTTACGTAAACTGTAGATCTACTTGTTTGTCGAACCAAGTCTCAGTATAGAGATAAAGGGTGAAGGGTAGGCGAAATGGCATGCCACAGACGCTTTTGAGTCTCAAATGTGTACGTCAGTGAACTAGAGAATTTTGTTCTGTTCGGATAACAATTTCGGACACAAATATCATCTGATATTTTTATCCAAACCGCGAGAAAGTTGTTCGGAATATGGAAACGAAACGGGTTACACAAAATTCTCGGTAGCTACACAATTAAGCAAAATAACGTTACTCTTGGCGCAACTATCAGGTTTGGTAAGAATAAAGGTAACATGTGGTTTATTTTTTATATAAATACATTGAACCAAAAACAGGAGGTACAGCCTTTCATATTGTTCGGTTTAGGAAACCAG